CGATGCGGGCTCCTTACCCGGCGACGAAGGCTTGCGGGTCGGTATTTGGGAGTAGGATGATACTACTCTCATCCTCTCAGGGTTAAAAATGTCTCGATAGGCGATTGGCCTCTCCAATACGCCCGGGCGATCTGGTGGTTTCCTCGATTTAGGAGGAGGCTCCCCCTTATCTTTATCTGACATGTTTCCCTACCTAACAGTCAGCGGTAATCTACTAAAAGGCCCTATCTGAATACCAGCCGATCGGCAGCGGATGGTGATGCGCGACGCGGATTGTGGTGATGTTAAGAATTGACTTTCCACACTTGGGGCACTGCCTACCCCTTTTGCTACAAAAGGGTTGGGGGAAGTGCGATGGTGGCACTTTAATACGCGACTAGGCACAGTAAGCACGGAGCGCTTTAAAGTGCCAAGAATCTGCCTAGGGGCCGGTGACCTCGACGCCTCACGGAATCAGCGGACTCAACGATCGGCGGAGTATGTCGTACCGGCGGTTGTATGTGCTCACTGCTAAACACAAACAACGCACACCTAGGAGATCCTTACCAGCGTAACATAGTAGCTTAATGCTGCTGTGTTTCGTATGGTGACTGTAGAGAACCGGAGACCCTTTTTACTGGAAACGAGGCATTTCATCTTAATCCTCATGGGTGACAACGCATCTGCTTCCTGATTTGTAATCGAGGGTAAATGTAGGTGTATATGGGCCACAGCAACCACTTACCATCAGGTGGACTGTGTGCTCGTTTTTCACCCTATCTGATAAAAAAATTCCCTGCATGTATTCTTATCAGGTTGTTATCCATTGATGGATCCCCACACGGATACGAGACTGCTACTCGAGAAGCTTTTTTATCCGTCAGCTATCGGTTCTCCTAATGATCTGTTAGACAACAATATATACTAGAGATGGGCCGAATATTCGTTATATATTCGGTATTCGGCATATTCGGCAGCTTTACCGAATATTCGTATTCGGCCGAATATTCGGCTAAATCACCGAACATTCGTTTTCATAGTGTCCAATATATTGCAATGTACGGATTGAGTAATGTGATGTCTTTTACTGTTGAAAGTATATTTTATTTATGGGTTAAATCTACTTACTCTAGAGTGCCTCAAATGCATAAATCTATACATTTATGTTTTAAGGAACTGTAGATTTATTTCCGATCGTGGCAAATAGAAACTTAATAAAAATGTTTTTGGAATCAAACAAAGATACAATACATTACATTAGTACATTTCACAGTTGTAAAAATTTAAGATTGAAACTAGATTAAAAGCAAATTTTAAATCACTTTCAGTACAACTAGTGGAGATGTGGTTGTTCATATCAATTATTATTTGATTTGCAATAATGCAGTCAAAATTAATGTCTCTTTCAAAGTCATCCATTATCATTTTTTTTCTACCACTTTTGCCAATCATCCTTTGGAAATGGGCACATGCTTCAACGAATATAGACCAAAAAGTTAAAGCCGAGTCACAAAATAAGAAGACACATACACAAAATCACAAAGTTACGCACTGTAAGCTCTCGAAACAGAAACAGAAACTTTTTTGTTCAATATAGATTATGAATAATACTTAAGTCTACTACTAAGTTTCTTTTTTCATTTACCGCTGCTTCACAAAAAAACCCTCTGTCCTGGGAAGAAAAAGCAAGAAAGAGCTTACAATCATGCGTGTTACAATTAACAACACAAAACAAATTAGAAATAGGTAGCTTGGTAGCGATTATCCTTCCCAGGGGTTATTATCATCCATAAATTCCTTAATAATAAAATAACCCTTTTTATACAAACTTAGTTTAATAAAGTTTTTGAACTTTGTGTACTTACGTTAAATTTTGTATATTTTCTGGGATTTTGTTGTAAAAGCGTATATATCGCCCCAAGAATGAATTACTGACTGTGGAGTCGAGTAACTGGTATGAAATGGCGGGATATTGAAATTATGTAGTGGTTATTTTAGCACGGCCTTGTATATGAGTTTTTTTGCCTACACAAATTTACTTTGACAAAGTAAAAAACTAAAGGAACTTGTTTTATTCAGGATTCATGTAATTTAAGGAATTTTGAAAATTAAATTAAACAAACAATAAATTAAAAAAATTAATGCCACGATTATTTGAATATTTTGCCGATTATTTGAATATTTTGCCGATTATTCGCATAACAATGAATTTTAATCATCTAAGCACTACGGTAATATACATAGCGACATATCATTAAAACGACGTCGTGTAAAAAAGTTAATACTGGTTATTTTTCAGTATTTTGCTTTGTTTGAAAAATTCAAATTTAAATTAGTGATTAAAAATTATATACACGTTGTAATGAAATATAGGTAACTTCATAATTATTCGGATTTACGTATAAGATTATTTTAAATCGTGTGAGTACGCTTGCAAAGCTATTTCGGAATGATTAATGTGAAACGTCAAAACGCATTTCTTAGATTTGGTTGACTACAGGTACATTACGCCATACTAAAATCGACTAAAATATTTACTATAATATCAACTGTTAAAATGGCTTCGATAAAGAAGCATCCTTTTGACCCATTATTACTTGATTGACTAATGAAGAACTACCGAATCGTATATCTTTCTATGCAAATAAGGTTGTAGTTTTTGAGTTATAAGAAAGTGACCATATTAACCGGATGACCATATTATCCTCACGTACTGTATTTAATAATAAATTTATAAATCTTGTAGTTTTTAAAGTATTCGAACCATAGATTCAAACAATCTATTTATTATTCTAGAACAGATTCCTTATACCGGTTTCTTTGGTGGCCCTACCATGAGATTCCATCGGAAATTTATTTAAACGATTTTAAAATAATGTTATCTATCCACATAATTAAAATTATAGAGGTTTGCAGTTGTGCGCGCTACACTGAAAAATTACTGGATAGATTTCAATTATGTTTTCCAAGTTTTATTTTTTATACACTTGGCCCTTATCTAAAAAAATATTGCGATATCTTTATAAAATATAAAGTTTTAAGAAGGCGGACGAAGTCGCAGGCAGAAAATCAGCTGTTGACCGTAAGTCTCGCTAAAACTCGAAACTGGCTTCACCGACTCTGATGAAGTTTTTGGGGGTGTTTCAGTGTGTCCCTGTATAGTTTACATGCACAATTGAACAAAGTACGCTGAGAGATTTTGGGAGGTTTTTGAACAAAGTCGCACAATCCTATACTATTAAACGAGCAATTCTTGTGTATATATATATATATATATATATATATATATATATATATATATATATATATATATATATATATATATATATATATATATATATATATATATATATATTCTATAATCGGGATCTCGGAAACGGCTCCAACGATTTTCATAAAATTTAGTGTCCAGGGAGTTTCGGGGATAATAAATCGATCTAGCTAGGATTTATTTTTAGAAAATGTCTTTTTGTCCGTGTTTTTAGGCAATGAAAAACTGCTACAATATCGTTAGAATAAGAAGGTAAATTTTGACAGATTCTTAATGATTATAAATAGCTTAATTGGTATAATGGGCGGTCACAGAATCGTAAAACTTCGGTTCGAGCCCAGACCAACCGACCGACTTTTTTTTAATTTTTTTTTCAAGTTCCTTTCTTTTTTTGAGAAATTCTATTTTTTTCGAGCCCTTTTTTTTAGTATTTTTTTAAAAACACGAAAATTTAAATTAAAATAATTGAACTCATGATTTTTTATTCAAATAACCAGTTCCGTTTTTTCTGTTATGTCGCTAAGATCAAAAAATATTATTTATATTTCATCAGTATGTAATTTATGTATCTAAATACAATTTCCAAAACACACGAATTAAAAAAAAATCGAGCAAAAAATACGGAGCAAAGCTCGGTCAACCAGGTACTAGATTTAAAATAAATAACTGTTTTCTACTTTTTTGTTCATTAGCCCGTTAAAAAAGGTAAAACACTAAAATTATAAGAATAGCAGAGAGACTAGCAAGTGAAGGATTTACTGGTAGCAATCATAGTGCTCACAAGTATTGGGGAAGGGGAGAGCGGGACGTGTTCTTCAAACTAATGTAATACTTAAACTTAAATATACCATTTTATTTTTACATTCAGTTCTTAAGAGGATACCTTGAAAATTATTCGAAGTTTTGAGGGCGTAGCTTATTCCTTTGTCGGTGAAACTAACGGACGACTGAGGGAGTGTCAAAATGAAAGTGATGCAATGACTTCATAGTACGCAAATTATGAGATAGCCATACCGAGCAAGCGCTCGGAAAAAAACTGAGTAAGCACCAAACAACATTTTTATTTATTTTAACAAAACTTCGTTATGGATTAAAAAACTGGTTTATGAGAACTTAGATATGATTATTCACTATGCCATAAAAATAATTCCGTGAACTAATTCTTAAGAATATTGCGGTGTCACCGAAAAATAAAAAATTAGAGCCTACTTTGCAATTTTTTTTCTATCGAGAAAATTACATGATATCGTGTTTTCCTTTTATGCAATCCAAGATCATATAGTCAAAAATCATACACCAAAATTTTGGTTAGTAATCTATAAAACTTTAAAAAAAATATGTTAAATAGAAAAACCAGCAAATTTTCGAGGTATCATCTTAACTAATAAACTTTTACGTATTTATACGTGAAAGAGTATTCTACAATACAAAGCGTCAAAATGTTGATAAATCAAGGCGAAGACGAGAAATCTTATTAAGACTTACTAATAATAATTTTTTTATCAATCAAAAATTAGTACTATCGCTCCGTAATATCCGCAAAAAAAAAACTACAAAAGAGATAAATACATTTAAAAGACATAATACTTATCGTTTGTAAATAATTAAGTCTCACTCATCATTCGATACCAACTCACTGGTGTGGCCAGTGTTAGAGGCAGAGGTCAATACCGTGCAAAAACTCTCATCTGAGTGGACCTAGGAGCGAACCGATGCAGTAGACGCTAGTGCGACCTTTAAAACAGACGTAATGTATAAAATTCTAGTGTTAGTGACATTTGTTGCGGTCAGCCTAACTGTAAGTATACGTTTAAATATCATCATATAACTTAAGCGTGCAATTCTTGTAGCTAAGTTTAATGTTTACTATATATTTTCACTATATTTTCATTGTTATCTTTTAAATGTGCTACTTTAAAAATCATATAACCTCAAAAATTTATTATTTTTAATCTGTACATTCTTATAAAAACGACCTAAAATAAGGAAGAAGAGGAAGAGCGTTGCTCCCTGACACAGGCTCAATAGCTTAAAAGGGCGCTACGGTCACTAATATAATATAACATACCCATTGTTTTAAAATAAATATTTATTGTTATTATTATTATGTAATTGGTTTCTTGGAAACGGCTCTAACGATATGGATGATTTTTTTTTTAATTTAGGTAAGGCTTTGTTTTCCAAGGTTATATATGTAGATAGGTGTCATCCCTAATAAAATTATATTTTTATCTCGCTCAGGTTCTATTATGCCCGGTTTAGTGCTGGATTGTTTAGTTTTTACTGGAAAAATGTAAACCGGCACTGGAATGCACTGAATCCAGTTAGCATTCTAGTCCAGTAACTGGATTGGCGGTCTACTTTTGAATCCATTGCGACCAATCCAGTGCAACTGGAATAATGTAGACGGCCAATCCAGTGCCATTCCAGTGCTGACACAGTAAACACGTATTGGTTGTTTTTGAGGATTACTGCGGCGAAGGCTAAATAACTGGAATAATGTAGACGTTACAGATCCAGTCCAGCACTGGATTGGTTTCTCGCTGAACCACTGGACTGGAATTATGTAAACCGGGCATTAATTTAAGAACTGTAAATATTTTTAAAAACGTGACATCACAATATGATGAACCTTTAATTCGGTTGATCCCACTAATTATAAATGACATTAAACATGTAAATAACAAATCTGTAGTGAAAATTAAGATGTAGCACGATTATAGTGTATGAGCAAAATTAAAAAGAAATAGATATTACGTTTTAAGTAAGTTTAGGTTTCAGTGTACGCCTCGCTGCAGTTATATTATATATGCAGCACGAAGGGTTTGCCTCGATCAGGGAATAGTAGCAAGAAAAAAGGATCTATTTTATTATTAACATAACTCGTCGTACTGCTTTTCCATGATGTAAATAAATACTTACACTTTTTTTTAAAGATATTTTACTCGTGTCTACATCGTAGATCACTCACGCGTTGTAGGAATCCTTGATATTACACGCTCCCTAACAGGTGTTATACTTTCGATTTAACGTCGTGTTTCCTTAAAATGTTCGTGGTATAACGTGGTTATACGTGGTAGAGCCATGCAGCAGTTATATGAGTAGTATAGTTGTAGCAGGAATGGGTCGGCTCGACCGGGGAGTGGAGGACTACGCTCTGAAAGAATACCAGCGTAAAATAGTAGCTTAATGCTGCTGTGTTTCGTATGGTGAGTGTAGAGAACCGGAGACCCGTTTTAATGAAGTCGAGGCATTTTATCTTAGTTCTCAAGGGTGACAGCGCATCTGCATTTTGATTTTTAATCGAAGTTCAATGTAGATGTCTACGGGTCACAGCGTCCACTTACCATTAGGTGAACTGTGTGCTCGTTTATCACCCTTATCCTATGGGTTTCTTGCACGTTATCCCAGGACGGAGGTTTTCTGCGAATCAGTGGTAATAGTAAAAAATTACTTTATTCTATTCTTAAAATAGTTTTAGGCGTGAAAACTGAGCGACAAGCGTGCAGCAGAGCAGGCTGTTTGGCGTGCTCGACAAATATAAGTGTAGAATATCCACTAACCCTTGCAAGAGGCGACAGAGGGAAATTTAAACAGGTGCTTAGCAGCAGCATCTTCCCGATAACAACTCAAAATGAAAGAAAAATGCGGTGACACTGTAGCAACATTTTCCCTATTAGACAATATATGTGGAAGGTCTATGTTCATCTATGGACTTTTATACGCTGTAATGGTAATGGATGGATGGATAAACAAGCAGAATGACTAATATGTAGAGAACCGGAGACCCTTTTTACTGGAAACGAGGCATTCCATCTTAGTCCGTACGGGTGACAGCGCATCTGCATTTTGATTTGTAATCGAGGATAGATGTAGATGTCTATGGGTCGCAGCAACCACTTACCATCAAGTGGACTGTGTGCTCGTTTGTCAATTATCACCCTATCCTATAAAAATATATAGGCCTGTATGTTCTAATCTATTTTTTATAATTTAAGTGTAATTGTTGCACTTGTGATTTTTTTACATGTATTTCCTCATGCATACTTTATTTCGCAGCATGGCAATATCCTAGCTCCGAAGCTAAAACTGAACGATGGCAGAGAAATACCTGCTTTAGCACTAGGAACCTGGTTGGGAAACAACACGAAGGTACTTCAACAAACAATAAGCATTCCAGTTACTCCAAGTTTTAAATAATTCTTGTACAACAATCAAAACAGAATTGAGACTAATGTAATAATTTGAATATTTAATGAATATTTTTGATTTAATTATAATTTTTACATTATCTGTCTTAAAAACGTGTGGACGTAGCAACTGGTGTAAGAATATCCACTATCCCATTTCGACCCTTTAGCGACACTAACGACTAACGACTAACAGACGACTGACGGAAACAAATCAGGAGATGGGCAGCAGCGGCTTCGGTTTATTTTCAAAAAATAAAAAACTGCAGTTGCCAACCCGTCTACCAAGAATGGCAAAAAGACCACCTTATGCAGAGGCAACCTACTGAGATTTCTAAGTTCAGCAGTTGACTTTAATAAGCTATAATAATGATAATGATGATGGAATATAAAGTCTCTTTCGGAGTTGTAAATTCACACATGTTTTTTTGCTTTCCTGCAATCCCATTCAGTTAAGATTTTTTTTATAGCATTGGGTGAGAAACGAGCACACAGTCCACCTGATCATAATACAATGTATTATAATACAAACATGTTGTCACCTCTGAGGACTAAGATGGAATGCCTCGATTCCAGTAAAAAGGGTCTCCGGTTCTCTACACTCACCATACGAAACAAAGCAGCAACACGCTGCTGTTTTACGCTAGTATTCTGTGAGAGCGTCGTCCTGCCCCGGTCGAGCCGACCCATTCGTGCTACAACTAAAGTACATGTAGCTATAGCGTGGCTCTGCCACGTAAAAATTGTCCGGAAAAATCGCTTTTAGCGATAAGTCTAGCCTACTGTGGCACATTTATTTTTTGTCTTACGCCTTTGTATTACGGCTGGTAAACGAAAGGATAGACTCGAACAGAAAAAAAATATGCTCGCACAGTAAATAGCAATATAACATAACACTGATGTGTTTCCTATGGTTAATGGCGAGAACCGAAGACTATTTTGACCGGTACGTGGTATTCTATCTTATTTTTCAGGAGTATTGTCACTCCTTTGTATTTTGATTCGTAATCAAAAATAGACTTTTTACGTGGTAGACGCTGCCGGTGGTGATAGCACGAATGGGTCGGCTCGACCGAGGTAGTACCACGCTCTCACAGAAGACAAGCGTAAAAGAGCAGCGTAATGTTGCTGTGTTTGGTATGGTGAATGTAGAGAACGGGAGACCCTCTTTTTACTGGAAACGAGGCATTCGTTCTTAGTCCTCATGTGTGACAACGAATCTGAATTTTGATTCTTAATTAAGGGTTAATGTAGATGTCTATGGGCCACAGTATCCACTTACCATCAGGTTTACTGTGTTCTCGATTGTCACCCTTATTCTATAAGAAAAATAGATATAGCTGCCTGCCTATGGTCCAAGGCATCTACTTATCATAAGGTGGACTGCGTGCTCGCTCATAGCACGTATACTTGTATAAAAACAAATCTGACAAGATATTGAACATAAACCTCTAGCAGAGATTAAGAAATATAAATTGCGTGATACTTATCAAGTATGGGAAACCCTTTTTCGAATACACATAACGTGACATTGAGATTAACAACAGTTGTTTTTTTTTTTAAATATGGCCGGGTTGAGCCCTCGGCAAATGAAGTGGAACTAGCAGTGGGCTGGGCTATCGACGCAGGATACCGCCACATTGACACCGCATACGCTTACAAGATCGAGGATCAGGTCGGTCGAGGTGTAGCAAGCAAGCTGAACGGCGTCCCAAGAAGCGAACTCTTTATTACCACTAAGGTACGTACTAGGTCCGTTGCACTCGCACATTTTCATCTAACAGTGATAGAATAATTTAATAATGATAGAATATTTACAGCTGAGTAATTCACATCACGCACGAGACGCTGTTATACCTGCTCTCCAAGAGTCATTGCAAGAGTTAGGTCTGGACTATGTAGACCTCTATTTAATTCACTGGCCCCTCGGACAATTCGTAAGTGCCTTTACTTTTTTTTTAAATATGTATAGAAGAGGGGGGCAAACGAGCATGCGGCTCACCTGATGTTAAGTGACTACCGCCGCCCATGATCAACCGCAACACCAGGGGAATTGCAGGTGCGTTTCCGGCCCTTTAGAAAGGAGTACGCTCTTTTCTTGAAGGTTCCCAGGTCGTATCGGTCCGGAAAAATCGCTGGTGGTAAACTATTCCACAGAGAGGTTGTACGCGGAAGAAAACTCCTCTTGAAACGTACAGTGGTGGACCGCCAAGCATCCAGATGATGTGGATGGTATCGCGACGTTTGCCGCGTAGTGCGTCCACGAAATTTGGCGGCTGGGATTAATCCGAACAATTCCTCAGAGCACTCTCCATGGTATATGCGAAAGAAAATGCAAAGAGATGCAACATCTCTTCGCAGTGCCAGTGAATCGAGCCGATCGGAAAACACTCGGTCGTCGACGATTCGAGCCGCTCTGCGCTGGATGCGGTCAAGTGGAAGGAGCTGGTACTGGGGAGCCCCAGCCCAGAGATGGGAACAGCATTCCATGTGCGGCCGAACCTGCGCCTTGTAAGGTTGCAGGCGGTGTGCCGGCATGAAACACTATCCCGCTCTGCTGAGCACGCCAAGCTTTTTAGAGGCCAATTTGGCCTTCTCTTCCAAGTGACCACGAAACTGCACGTCACTCGATATGTCGACGCCGAGGATTCCGATACTGGCTGAGGCAACAAGGGGAGTGCCTTGAAACTGAGGGGATACGACAAAGGGGTTCTTTTTAGCGGTTAACGTGCAAACTTGTGTCTTCTGGGGGTTAAACTGGACTAGATTTAGTCGCCCCCAATCCGAGACTCTGTTCAGCAAAGACTCGACTTCAGACACAAGTTTGTCCCGGCACTCGGAGACGTTTTCCCGAGAAATATTGGCTCGGCCGGTGTAAAGAGCATCACCAGTGCTGTCACCAGTGCTGTCATCTGCATAGCAATGAATGTTACAGGTTTGCAACATATCATTGATATGCAGAAGAAACAGCGTTGGCGATAGTACGCAGTCTTGTGGAACACCAGCATTAATAGGCTTGCAATAGGAGCTTGCACCGTCTACAACGACCTTGATGCCCTGATCTGCAAGAAAACTAGTGATCCAATCGCACAATTTCTCGGGGGGGAAGCCCATAGGAAGGGAGCTTCGAAAGAAGCGCTTTGTGCCAAACCCGATCGAAGGCCTTCGCAATGTCCAAACTAACGGCCAATGCCTCCCCCTTGGACTCTACTGCCTCCGCCCATCTGTGAGTTAGGTAGACCAGAAGATCACCAGCTGACCGACCACGGCGAAAACCGTATTGGCGGTCACTAATCAGCTGGTGATCCTCAAGGTACCTCATGAGCTGGCAGTTTACAATGGACTCCATTGTTTTGGAGAACAAGGAGGTGATGGCGATAGGCCGGTAGTTGGACGGGTCTGAGCGGTCGCCTTTTTAGGGATCGGGTGCCAGTGAAAGCCGTCTTCCATGATTTTGGGACTACGCCTAGGGAGTAGGAGTACCGGAAAAGACGCGTTAAAACCAGTGCCAACTCTGGAGCACACGTCCTCAGCACAATTGGGGGGATTCCGTCAGGCCCACTCGACTTGTGAATGTCCAGGGAGGGGAGTGCTTTGCGAACCGAGCGCTATGTGAACTGCACTTCCGGCATGGAGCACTCACACCGCGGGATGGTCGGCGGCGTACTCCCCCCGTCATCTAGAGTCGAGTTGGACGCAAAGAAAGAGCCTAGAAGATCGGCTTTCTCCTTTGCGGTATGGGCCAGTGAGTTGTCCTCCCTGTGCAGAGATGAAAAAGATGGCTGACAGAAATTCCCCTGGACAGCCTTGGCGAGAGACCAGAATGCACGGGTTCCAGAAGGAAGGCGGACTAGTTTCTCGCCAATTCTGCCTATGTGCTCTGACTTTGCCTTGACAATGACTCTTTTGAAGGACCTAGAGGCTGAATTATACTTCTTTTTTAGAGCGCTGGTGTTTACATCCCGGGACGCTGATGCGTCAGCCCAGGCTCGGTAGCACTCCTGCTTATAGCATGATGCTATTTTACAGGAGTTTTACTTTATATATGTTCCAGCCAATAATGCTCACACTCCGAATTTAGCTAAGGAATTTAGTGTAAGTTTACCTAATATATCACAATCGATAATAATTCTACTCAGTTTTATGAATGGTAACTAAAGACAGCCATAGATGGGAACTGTGACGACTTTTTAATATTTCTATGGTGACGACCAATAAAATATTAGACTAAATAGCAGTTTAGTATGCAAAAACACAACTGGGGTACCGTCAACAACGTGAAGCCCTTTCATTCTTATTTGAGATTTTAATTATGAAATATTCGTCCCTTGCTAAGGCTTGGATAGTAAAAAATTGCGTAATTGAAAATTGTCTTCAAACAAAACTCTGTCAAATCAAATCATTAATTCGCAAAGAATGTAGGTGTTTTACATTGTAGCTGTTAATGAATCTAAAAAAGCCGAGTTTTGGCATGCAAAATTTAACCAATGTTTGCGTAATAAAGTTGTAACTTTCAGGCTAATTTAACTTATGATTTCACGGATTATCTCGAGACTTGGCGTGGGATGATGGATGCAAAACAACAGGGATTAGCCAAATCCATTGGACTGTCAAACTTCAATGAGCAAATGATTGACAGAATTATAGACAACGGGTTGGAGGTACCTGCCGTGCTGCAGGTTGAGGTAGGCAAGGCATATTAATTTCTTCTACTTTCCGTACATTATTAGCTGCATAAGCTATTTAAGGCAATATATAGGGCTATTTTTCAATTAACCGGCCACATTTGTAGAGAACGTTCAGAATAAGTAATATAGGCAAATGGTGAAGAAAACTTTACTAAGCAAATTGTACAAGTGTCCAGGAAAAGTAGCTCACGGAGAGCGCAGAAGCGGCTGGGCGTGAGCCCGCCTGCAGCCTCCGTCGGTGCAGATCTTAGTGTTAATAGCAAATACAGCGGCGAGGTCCAGATACATATTTATAGCGCAAAGATTAATTTGTATTTAATTTTACAGATTAACCTGAACCTTCAACAACCGGAGTTACTTCACTATTGCAAGGATAAAAATATCGTTGTTATGGGCTACACACCCTTTGGTTCACTATTCTACGGCAAAGCTAAATCTGATGCCCCACCGCCACGTGTTGACGATCCATCTTTGATTGAGATTGCTAAGAAGTATAACAAGACCGTACCTCAAATAACTCTCAGATATCTGGTAATAATTACATTATATTTTTTTTTTGTTATTTGTAGATGTAAATACGTCCCACGACATGACAAGTCACTTCCTTTTTTGAGAGGATTTATAATACAATAAACATACTTTTTTCGGAGATATGTGACGTCTTCGAAATTTGAATATTTTTTTTCTTAGTACATTCTGGTTTCCTCATATTTTTTAAATGTTTTACACAATCGCTAGGCAATTACAATAGTACCGGCGGGACGGGACTCGACTTGCTGAAAACCATGAGCTGTGAAGTAACACAGCTCCTTGCAACAAAATAAGTCGTGACTTATTTTGTACGGCTAATTTCTAAAAATTACAAGTGGTATATTTTTTGTATCCAGGATATTATAAAAGATTTAAAAAGCTGCTTATATTTGGACCTAATTACAAAAAAATTGTATTCCAGATCGAACTGGGCGTTATACCTATACCTAAATCCTTAACGAAAAAGAGAATAGAACAAAACATCGATGTGTTTGATTTTAAACTGACGGAAGAAGAAAGAACACTTTTGAAATCTTTCGACAAGGGCTATAGGACAATACCGCAACTAAAATGGCTGGATCATCCCTTCTACCCGTTCAAAAAACCACTTAATCTGTAAACACTTCTTGTTCAGTACAAAACTAAACGCGACTAATAAATAGGATTGAAACCTTTTATTACTTTATTCTATACTTACCTTTTCTATTTTGTCCTGAGTCTGTAACGGTCCACTGTTGTACCCTCTATAATTGTAGGAATGACTTACGTGTAAGCCACGGTTGATTTTATAATACCTCGTCATTACGAACATTGGACGCTGCTCTTCGTCTCCAGTCTGAATATGTTACATAATACAATGAAACCTGGATAAGTGGGACCTGGATACGTGAGAAACCTCTATTATTGAGAGCTACAATAAGGTCCCGGCACTTTTTCATCGAATTACCTCTGTTAATGGGACTTTTAGAACCTGGTTAAATATGATTTGATTTCTAGGATTTTTTCGATGTTTACCTCTATAAGTGGGACTCTGGAGCTCAATCCCCTTTATAAGTTAGACAATTTATCAGGTTAGGACAGGTTTCGACACGATTATTTTAATTAGTAAGTATATAGATTTTCGACACGGGGCCTCTATAAATAAGACAACTAAATTTTAAACCTGTCCAATTGGAAAACTGGATAAATGAAAAACTCTTTAAATGGTACAAAATCTGGTTGATTTAACCAGGTGTTATGATATTATTATATTACAAGATAGTAGTACCTGGTAATACGTGTACTAGAACTGTCTAGGAGTCCGTCTGGGTAGATATAACTATCTAACTTATTTCTGTCGAGGTGACAGTGCACGTGTAGCCTCCTTTGTTTTAAGATGGCTCCACATGTCCATGGACTGCAGCAGCCTGAAGTAACTTACCATCAGGTGGTCTGTAAATTCGTTTATCACTTCAGTTTTATTTTTAAAAAATTGAGACTATCGATGCTTGACAGAGAGCTTTCTGGAATTTAAAATACGCTCTTTTTTTTCAAATTTATTTAAATGAATTGCACTTATTGCATGTCGCATTAAACTAAAGTCGATTTTTTTTTATAAACATCACATTTAAATGCTCTGGCCTTTTCTAATTTCTGAAAGGATTATGGAACAATAAGTTCATAGAGTTGCTCCAGTGAGTTTTGACGGACATCATGTCTTTTTAATATTTTTATTCCTCAGTCATGCAGAGGTTTCCTTCACCGACGAGCACGTCGGCTCCTAAATTTTTTATAGGATAGAGTGACAAATTAGCATACAGTGCACCTCATGGTAAGTGTTTGCTTTGGCCTATAGATATCTACATATATCCTCGATTACGAATTAAAGTACAGAGCGTTGTCACCCCTGAGGACTAAGATGGAATGCCTCTTTTCCAGTAAAAAGGAAGCACAGCAGCGTTAAGATATTATTTCACGCTGGTATTCTGTGAGAGTGTGGTCTTTCCCCAGACGAGCCGACCGTCGTGCTACAACTATACTACTAATATAGCTGCAGCCATGGCTCTACCACGTATAAAATATTGAAATTAACATTAAAATCAAAAACGGCGTGAATCGAACCCTCGTACTTTGGGTACTGAGAAATTTACGGCAAACGCTACCCATAACTACCACGGATCACGACTTTTTATAATAAATTCAAATTATTAAAATATCAGTATGTATGACACTGAAAGTTTAAAAAAAACACTAAACAATAAAGCTATCTGGCCCGAACTAAATACAAGAAAGATTGTTTTTGTTATTATGACTAAGACCAATATCCAAGCTTGACCGATATATATGCTACCTTTCTGCTATCGCAAATCTGCTTACAAGCGTGGCTGATTTCTATACTTCTTACTTGCTGGTATATGGTACTACTCAATAAATAGGAGATTGAAGGATCCATCTCAAAGGACCACACTATTGCTTAAATCATCGCAATCTATTGACCACGAGAAAATCTGCTTACAAGCGTGGCTGATTTCTATACTTCTTACTTGCTGGTATATGGTGCTACTCAATAAATAGGAGATTGAAGGATCCAACTCAGAAGGATACACTATTGCTTAAGTTATCGCATGCGAATTCGGAAGCCCTGTTCATATTAAGACGATACAAGAATGTTTCGCCTCCATCCATTCATCCGTACATAACAGTCTATAAAAGTCCACTGATGAACATAGGCCTCCCTCATAGCAGTGTTGCCATATGGAGAAAAAAAGATGCACTAAGCCCTTATCGAAATTGCGCTGTATTTAAAAAAATTGCTTTTAAAATCCACCAAATACCGCTAAGTTGTATCCTGTAAATGTATAAGGAAATAAGAAAAAATGCGAGTATTTAAAGACCTGTTCATTTATTTAAGTAATATTAGGTACTAAAAACAACTAAATTAGACAATTACACTATGTCCTCATGATCATCATCACCTCCTAATGCCGATGGTGTGTCTACTCCGGCTTCTATTCCTTTTTTTCACAGTTTTAGTAATTTGTCGAGGACAATTTCAGGTAACTTTTTAAATGTGGCAGCTTTGCTTAAGAATTTTTTTAATGATAACTTATCATTATGTTTGAGTTCACTGTTTCAGCCACAGATTACCTCCTAATAGATACCGCATCATGGAATATTTGTTCTGTTTCGTACATAACATAAATACATAAAAACTCACGCCTGTCACCCAGAGGGGTAGGTAGAGACTACAGACTTCCATTTAGCACGATCCTGACATACCTTTCTCGCCTCTTCCACATCCATATACCTACGCATACATGCTCGTCGGTTAAGGGTACTCTTAATTTGGCCCATTTTTAGTATATCGCCAATTTGGTCGACAAACTTCCGCCTAGGACGTCCCTTTCCGACTCTTCCATTCACTTCTGCAACATATATTTGCTTTGTCAGTCTTTCCGCATTCATTCTTTCTACATGACCAAACCACCGAAGCATTCCTTTCTTAATCCTGGTCACCGCATCATCTTGCAAACCACACTCTTCTTTTATCACACATTTTCTCACCCTGTCACACAGATTCAGCCCTAACATACTCCTTAGCGACCGCATTTCTACTGCATTTATTCTACTCTCGTGCTTCTTCTGCCACACCCAACTTTCACTACCATACGTTAAAGTAGGGACTAATACAGCACTGTGAATTGCCATACGTGCCTTTTTTGACACATTCTGACTTTTCACAATAGAGTGTAGAGCCCCATTTACTTTATTTCCTGCATTCACTCGTCGTTCAATATCCTTATCATATCTCCCATCCCTGCTGAATACACACCCCAAATATACGAACTCATCCACTTGCTCAATTAACTCTCCTTCTATTCTTATTTCACATACCGTCTTGCTTTCATCTCTTTCAAAAACCATCACTTTCGTCTTACTTGCGTTCACTTTCATTCCCCTTTCTTTTAATGACCTGTTCATTAATGTAACCATCATTTGCAACTCGGCCGCCGACGACGCAAGTATGACTTGATCATCGGCGTACAAAAGGCATTTGATGGTTAACTCACCCATTCTTAACCCGCATTCTTCAACTTTCAAATTTTCCAAACAGCTGTCCATAAATAGGTTGAACAGCCACGGGGAAGCTACACAGCCCTGTCTGACACCTTTATGGATGCCAAACCAGTCCGAGTAGACCCCATTGATTCTAACACAAACACTCGAGTCCCTATACAGAGACTTTAATGCCTGTATCAAACCAGCGCTCAACCTAAATGCGTTCAGCGTTTGCCATAACACATCCCTGTCCACTCTGTCATAAGCTTTTTCCAAGTCCATGAACGCACAAAAAACTTTTTGGTTTTTCGCCAAAAACTTCTCCGCGATCATGCGCATGGAAAAGACTTGATCTGTACACCCCATTCCCTTTCTAAATCCCGCTTGCACATCCCAAATTTTTTCATCACTTTCTTTCATAACTCTTTCAATTAGTACCTTAGCATACAGTTTTCCCACAATGCTAAGAAGGCTGATACCACGGTAGTTTTTACAGTCCTGCTGTGACCCTTTTCCCTTATATATTGGGACTATCACGGCTTTGCACCAGTCTCCCGGTACCCGCTTTAGTTCCCAACATAAATTAAACAAGGTGTACAGCAGGCCTGCCACCACGTCCTCTCCAGCCCTTAGCATTTCGAGTGAAACTCTATCATATCCGGCTGCCTTACCTACTTTCATGCTTTTCATTGCTTTCATTATTTCATCTATACTTGTCTCCCTATCTCTTTCATCTTCTTTCGGAATTTCTATTTCATTTAGTTCACACTTCTCCTCACTCATAAATTCGCTTTCAAAATATTCCTTCCATCTCTTTAGACTCAACACTTCATCATTCAGGATACAGCCATTGTCGTCTCGTATCGCATTCAATCTAGGCTGTTTTGAAAGTCCCCTGGTATTTCTTACGAGTTTCCTCTGTATGTGTGTTTCTCTTCGAGTGTTTTGTTTCGATTTCACCAAATTCCGAGTTGCGGGGGACGTGTCAAATGCGCTGTGATTGGATAATTCAAGGTTGAACTTAGAATGCTCCGAACCATAATGATGGGACAGGGTTGGGACGTTGATCGATAAATTTGGGATTTATTGATTATTGATAAATAAATGATCAATTTTTATTTGAATTTATTAAAGAATAAAACAGTGTATATAAATAAGATAAGAATTTGTATACATATACATATACATATATATATATATATATATATATATATATATATATTTGTACATGTAATCTAATGATTTCTTAAAGTTACGCGTACGCTACACATTGAATAAAACTATATAATTATATGGATTTTATGGCGTTTAATTAACTTATGGTCACGGGGGGAGGAGGAAAAAAATGAGATGTTTGATATCTCAATATCATAGTTAGCCCAGCTATCTTCAGTTTTTGAATATTGATTTTTGATCAAGATCTACATTAAACGAGCTTACAGTATGTTGAAGTCTTGCAGAGGTTAGATTTTGTTAATTATAGGGTCCCAAGCAGATGGCAGCACCCATGCACCGACTGTGTCCGGCTTCACTCGGTCGCTGTGACGTAGGCTGGGGACCCAAAGCTTGTTGTCTTGCAAT